GATATTTTTTCAAAAATAAATTTCAATAGCTTACATGACCAGGTACCTCCTTACATTCCATCACTTTCATCTGATAATGATGTTTCTAATTTTCCAATTCATGAACGTGTTCGTCCAGCTCTTAATATTAATGATTTTAAAGTAAGTTGTASAATCGTTTTATATTTAAACCACCTAATATATTAATTTTGTGTTTTGCAGAAACAAAAACAATTTTCTGGCAGAGATCTACCATTTATTGGTTTTASTTATAGTATGCAAGTATCAAAACGAAATCAATCTTATTTTATGACTAACAACCCTGAATTAGAAACATCTATCAGAGTAAAGCGGAAGGAATTAGAAGATGCTCAAGTTTTAATACAAGCATATGAAGACAAATTAGCAGAATATGACTCATTATTTATTGAAAATGATAGGAAGATTAAAAAAATGGAAGAAGAAAATGTATTATTGCATGTAGATGTGACTTCCTTGAGTAGTGAACTAGGTAGATTAACTAAAATTAGTGAAACTAGTGATACTAGTCATGAGGACATAAATAATATTTCTCAAAAAAAACAAGCASAAATGGTTAAAGTAAGTAGTCAGCTTGTACATTTTTCAAATATATATTTTAATTACCTGATAATATTTTTAGAACGAAATTGATAAATGGGAAATAAAAACAATAAATGAGTTGTATAATATTGAGGAATTAAAAGTACAAATTGAAGATTTACAAGCCCAAAACATTGAATTACAATCACAGTATGGATTTTTATTTTGAGACATTTTAACTAATTAATTTTAACACTAAGTAAATGTTTTATTTTTAGACTATCCAAACACCAAGATGACATTAAAATATACCAAAGCAATGAAGAACAACTCAATAAAAAAATTATAAAGCTTAAATCTAAATTAAAGCATATTGTTCGTCGATCAAAACARTTGACTGAAGAAAATAATATTGATAATCATGTTTCTGCGTTGCTATCTGAAATGAAAATTAAAGAAGATTTATTTGAAGTTGAAAAAAATCAATTAAAATCTGAAAATCAATGTCTTGAAAAAAAAATAATTGTAATGGAAAAAGATTTAGACAGTTTAAATTTAAAAGTAAGTGTGCTAATAATTCTACAATTTTAAAGGATTTCTTATAACTGCGTTCAACCTATTGTTTTTCTTACTATACTTAATGATAAATTAATATATTTCTGTACATTTAGATAGCTCAGTATACAGAAAAAGAAGTTGCTATACAATCTGAACATAAAAATATGTGTCAAAAAATGGCTTCTGATTTTGAATCCAAATTGAATTGTATAACYAATGAAAAAGATAATGAAATTGAAAAATTGCACGCGCAATTAGCTCAGCTGCAACAGCAAAACTGTTGTTTAAACAGTGAATCATTACTCTCTTTTGAAAAACATGAAACAGCGATCTCCGAAAAAGAAAATGAAAAAGAGGTAAATATTTAGCATTCTTATATTCTATTATCTTAATGTAGTAAAAAATTATTAATAAGTAAATTATTAATTTAAATTAGTTTTAGAATAAATTTCAAATTTCACCAAATCATTGGTGTAAAGCTAATTTTTTGACTTGGTTATCAAATGTTTTCATTTGCCTTTAAGATATGAATTAATTTRATTGAGTTTTTTAGTATGAAATAGAGTTGAAGAATCGAGAACAAGAAATTCGTGATTTAAAATTAGACTTGAGAATACTGCAAAGAAAATATAAAACAATGGAAGATAATATAAGCAGTCTTAGAGTAAGAATAATTCAGTTCAAACAGCTATTTTATAAATTGTCTTTAGTACAAATACTACTATATCAATATTATTTCAGGAGTATCACAAAGATGCACGAAATAATTTCAAGCAGGAAATTGCTAAACTACAAGAAGAAAATAGTTTGAAAATTAAAAATAAAGAAGATGAGCTGAAGTTGTTGCAGGATAATATTACAAATCTCAATCAAGGATTAGAATCATTACAATTAAAATATGACAAAGAAGTAGCTGAACACCAACGGTTAAGTAATGAATTAACTAGAATAAATAATGAGTCAAAGGTCCACATTAGTGAAAAGTCTGCTCTTGAGAGACAAGTAAGTTATTTAATCGYAGAAAAAAARTTCCATTATACCTAAAAAAAATTTAATTTGCCTTTCAGATTCTTGAGTATAAAACTAAATTTCATAAAAGTGAAACAAATATTAAAACATTACAAGGATTAGTTACTGTTCAAGATGAACAACTTGAAAGCTTTGAAGAAACTATTCTAACCTTTAAAAACAAAGAAAAACAATTCTTGGAAGACATTCAAACCAAACAGGTTAAATATTTAGATTTAGCTATTATA